CGTTCTGCTATTCGGCTTTGTGGATGCGGTAGAGAGCGATAATGCGCGCGAGCTTGCTGTCGCGACGAAAGAATTCGCTTTATAAAGCGCAAAGGTTTCGACTCGTCAAAGATATCCGCTGACCTTCTCGATCGAGGTCAGAAAGCCGACACGTTCAATTGCAATTGATAGCTATCAATCGCGCAACACGAACAACGAGGGGTTGGGTGAACGGAGTTACGTGTGTAGTTGAAGTAATCAAGAGGGGCAAGAAACCGCGGGCGGAGGAGAGAGAGAGAGAGGTTGGGTGGTATGTGCGTTTGTTTGTTCGCAGAAAAATGCCCCCCCAATTCCTTGTATCCGTATTCGTGGTTCGCATTTTTGTGCAAAGAGCTTAGCCCACTGATAACGGCCTCCGTCTAGGTAGAGTTGTGCTTACGTAGGTGCCCACTCAAATCCTCACTCCTTGGGTCCTCCCATACTCCCCAACCCAGTTGGCGGAGAAGCTGCCTACGTTATCCACAAATCCTCTATCCGTATCATTCAATCTTAATCTTTTGCGGAGTTGGCTGGACCTATGGATAGAGCGACTCATGAGTGGATTGAGCTAAGATTGCCTAGCATCTAGTTTTCTGGAAAGCCCAAGGAATTCCAACTGAAACATTATTCAAATAGTGTCGATTTACGGCTGGCCCGCTAGAGCTTCTGCTAGGTCGCCGGCCGGTTGACCTGGCTTTTCTCGAGCCGTGGAAAGTTTTTTACCTGCAAAGTGCGGCTTTCGTCGGGCGGGGGCGGAGCGGAGCGATATGGCTACTTATCACGCTGTCACTGACAAACGCCATCACCAAGTGCGGGCGAGCTGACACCATGTTGACGAGCTGAGCCACTAATCACGCTGCTAGGCTTCCCGAATCCGCGTTACACTTACCTAGCCTGACGGTAAGGATGGGGGCCCTGGAGATGTTCTCGAAACATTCTGGCCTCTCTTCCCCGAGATGACAATCCGGAGATTACGACTGGGTAACCTTGTCATACGGGCCCGTTGTTTGTTTGTCTTGCTCTGTCTGTCTGAATTGTGCATCACTCGGAGTATACCACACGTCTGGTGCATCTTGTATCTAAAGCAGCGGAGCACTTTGGGTCTTGTCATGATTGGAACTAATCCGTGTCCAACTGAGGGCACACATCTGCATGTTATACACGCACACAACCTGCAGAACCAAGTTGTGGCTACCTGACCGGTCGCCTCTTCCACTTCTTGCGGGCATTATCGTCCTGAAATTCGATTGCACCGGTAGAAGGCTCTCTGGCCTTTCCCTCTTTCCTCTCACCGAGATATCCGCACGCTTGGATAAAACAAAAAGAAAACAGAATCCTCGTCAATGGAATGTATCCCACAAAGACTGTTCCGACCAGATCGTAAAGAACGGAAATGGGCAGTCGTATGTACGGGTAGAAAAAGTAAGAAATTAAAATAAAAAATGTTTCGCTACCATGACAATGCTGAGCCCGTCAGAAGCTACGGGCAGGGATCAGTGCCGAATCGCAAAGACAGGAGACGCCTTCAACTCAACGGCTGCCGAGAACAGAATCGTCATCGTCGCCTCGTGAGTGGGAGAACATCTCCCGGGGTATAATGACAAACCTAAAATGGAAAACAATGCGAAACAGTGCCGCAAATCAAATATCAAATCCGCACTCCTGTCGACGACGGCTTCTTGCCTAGCGTCATTTGGCTCAGCGACAATGTCCTGGCTGCCTTCTTTCGCTGGGGGTCTTCGTCCTCGTCGCGCAACTCCTCCCCGAACGCGCCGTAGCCGTGATGCTGCTCTTCCCTTGGCGTCGCGAAAACCTCCGAGTACGAGTCCTCGTCTCCGGGGCCGGTCCCAACGCCAGAATCTTCAGCCAAAAATTGCCGATTCCTGGACGCGGTTTCCTCCTCCTCATCGGATGAATCCTGGTCGAAGGCAGACACGCTGCCAAACGACTTGGCAGTTGGGGGAGGCTCCATTGCCAGAGACATGCGGCCGTGACCGCTGGGCCCAGAGATCATATTCAGGCGTCTCGTCAACTTCTTGACCTGAGACTCTAGGGCCTGTCGAGAGGCTCTCTCCGTCTCCAGCAGCGCGAGAAGCATCGTGTAGTGATCTGCTGTGAAGGTCTCTTGTGCCCTGTTCGGCTCGACACGAGATAGTGCTGGTAAGCTCGTCACGCCACGGATGGTGGAATTCGAGGTTGGCCTATTCATGGATGCAGGGAGTTGAAGAGAGCCCACATATGTGGGCGTCTCGCCGAAGGAGGTGTGAGACTCCTTTGAGTGTGCAGAGCTGCTGTACCGAGAGACTGGAGCTTGCTGGCGCGAGAGTTGCTGCAGTGCCGGATTGACTGCGGTGCTTGTCGTCTGAGAAGATGGATTCGAACCCGGTACCGATGGCGCAGGACGTTGCGGCTGGCTCATGTGGATCTGGAATCCAGGAACAGAGTTGCACAGATGCGTCACCACGTCCTCCACACGGTGCATCCTCTCCTCCAGCGTCTCTATGCGCGTCTCGATGCTGGCCGCCTGCGTGATCTTCATGCCAGCCATGACATTCATGTGCGTCAAGTTCCCAAACGAGAATGGTTGAGGTGGTGTGTGCACCTGTCCCTGCTCGATTGGGGATTCGGGCATGCTCATGGGAGGGGCCATGCCCGTGAACTGGTTTTCATGGTCTGGAATATTGGATGACGCCGGCGATGCGATGAAGGCCGGGTCATAGCTCTCTCTCCAATATCGGATTTCGTCGCTTCTGCGCCGAACTTCGGATCGTCCTTCTGGATTCTGCATTCCACTGAGACTCCTGGATCGGCGCTTTTGGCTAACATCACTAGTGATGGCTCGCCCAATTTCTTCGGGGTCATCGTCATCTGTGAAAAGGCGGCTCCCGCGGACGTGAGTGCTTGCAGGACGAGGCGAGAGGCCTGCAAGTTCTCCCTCGCGACTCCTGAAAGGAGCCGAGTAGATCTGACTTGTCGTGGCTGTGGCCGCCCTCTTGTGGCCTTGATACAGAGATGGGTCGACGTTGATTGAATTGCGCGCACTCTCAATGGCGGTAATGTCTTGGGGCCCTATGGAGTGAGACCGTAATGCTCTGTCGTACTCCGTGATCGGCAAGGACGCCGATCGCTTTGGTTCGGCTTCCTTGACTCGGCTTAACCCGGAAGTGTCCTGTTGGTCCCCCCGTCAGTCTCCAAGTTCAGAAAGAATGCTATGGTACGGGAGCAGCCGGTGCCGAAACTTACGCTCTTGTGTTGGTTCGAGGCGTTGTACGTCGATACGCGCTGCGAATCGGTCGAGCCCTGAGAGCCCGTCTTCTTTTTGCGACCAAAAAGCTTCCCCAACGCGCCGCGCAATGTTGACTTTTTGCGCTGTGGACGATCCTTGCTCGCGCCCGTCTGTTCAGATGACGCACTCACGGCGGAATATCGCAAATTGCTGGATGCGTTTGTTCTTCTTTGTGATTGGGGCGTGTTGGCCTGTGTCGCGTGTGTCGCCGATGTTGGTGATGATGCTGAACCGGAGCCAGAACCGGCGGAACCCGTTGGTGCAATCACTGAGTCTGCTCTCGGGGCCTGTGAAACTTCGGGCTGAGGCTGAGGGACCGAGACAATCGACCCGGCCCTTTGTTCGGCCTGCGGCGGATGCATCATTTGCTCCTTCATGTCGCCCTCGGTCAGAGGCGTAGCAATCCCGGTACCCGGGTTGCGCATTGGGAATTCGTCGTCGACTGGGCTAGGGATAGGAATCGGGCCTGATATTTTGCCCCGAATGGACTGGCCCGTTAAAGATCGAGGTACTGCGCCAGGAGCGGCGGGTGGGTTGGCCGACTTGAAGAGGCCCATGGCAGTGCCAGCAATTGGTGATTACTTCGTGCGTGGCTCTAGGCTAGAGCGAGTGTGAAGGAGGCCAGAGGACGAAGAGCGTTGTATTTGATAGCTGACCCCTGTTATGCCATGAAGTGTGGTGAGGTCCGAAGAGAGATGACGGAGAAGGGTATAGATATTGTTGGTGAGACCCAAGAGGATTGCCAACGGGATGCGTCCGGTGCCGTGCCGTGACGATTTGTTTAGTTCCAATGCCAATGTCAATGCCCGGTTCGCCAGTCCAGGCTGGGTGGGATTCTTGATCGGACGCCCCAGATGTCTAGGCCAGGTGGTGATCTATGCTGGAACCTGATTCATGGTGCATATAGACAGCAATGCGGCTTGTCGTCTAGGCCTGTCGGAATCGGAGAGGCGGGAGAGGTGGCGAAATGCGCCCTCTACAGCCGCGGTGACGCTGAGTATCCGTACGAGAGGAGAGGAGGAAGTCGAGTGGTCAATCAAGGCACGAGAACTGAGGCGAACAAAAGGAGAGAAACCCACGAGGGGACCGAGGATTGGGGTAGTAGTTAAGCAACTAAGAAGGGGGGACCCTAGCAGCGCATGCGTCATGTATCAAAGGAGCACCCGGGCAGGTCTGCGACAGGCTGACGAGGCGGGCCGGAGGAGCAATGTTGATTAGAACGGGCGGTAGCGTATAGCGCGCCGCTTAGCCTGAGAGGTAGGGCGTGGAAGAAGAATGGTTGGTGAAGGGTATGAATTAGACGACAAGAGAGGAATGCGTGATGAATAGTGGTAGAGGCGTAAGGAACGTGAGAGCAAAGTAGTGGTACCTGAAGTAGATCAGGGAGCAAGGAATATGGTACGGCAGGTATTCGTACTTGAATAATAAGCCGATAGGCAAGTAATAGGTAATAGTAGATGTGTTGTAAGACTGGTCGGGGAAGAAGCGAAGAGATGCGGTTGGTTCAGAAGATGCTTCTTTATTCCTTGTTCCGCGTGTCTACAACGGCAAAAAGCACAACACGGCAGAGGGCAGGAGGAAAAAGAAACAAACAAGGACAGAAAGGGCGGGAGAAAAGGGAAAGCAATGGCATGTATCTGTATCGGTTGTTCTTGCGCACGATGTGTACAATGTACTTTACGAGGCACACTAGACTTTACAACGAACCAGCAAGGGTTCCTGAAGGGGAGGGACTCGAGGAGATGGAAAGACAAGGGCGGGAGGCTCTGATGGGGACCATGTATCCGTACACTACGGAAGACCAGAGAGGCAGATGCAGAACAGACGCAGATGCTAGCGCGATGAAACAAGTATGCATGCACGACCAGGAGGATACGGACCATTGGAACGCCGTCAATGGTGCGTATTGGCCCGCGTCTAGGATACAGTGATGGGGCAAGTTGCAAGCCGCAAGCCGCAAGATTCGAGAAGAAGGACAGGCCAGCCGTTGGTTTTCTGCGTCTACGGCACGGATAGCCACCGTCCACGCAGACGCGTTTTCCAAATCTGGACTGAATGGTCATGGCATATTATGGTACATAATTTGCACATCATGTCTTGCCCTCGAACTTGTCAGGGTTGATTCGAGAGAAGAGAGAACGAACAGAGACTCAAATTGCTCAGCAGAGTAACGGGATGGGGCAGCAGGAAAGGTCCGAGGTCAACGACGAGCTTGAAGCCGCAATGGAAGCCGATGCATCCCATTCCACGACGGTTTCCATTTCATTTCGTCAGGGTGCCCTCCCTGGTGGTGCCCCCGGCGCCCCTCGTGGCCTTCGCCGTCGCCGTTCGCTCGCCGCCCCCTGCTCCATGTCGTTCTTGGCTTCCCTGGCTCGGGGGATGGCCCTTGTTTGAGGCCAGTGCTTGGGGCGCCCAGAGCAGTGGGGAAGGAGAAAGGACGTGGGACCCCCCTGGCTGGAAGAGCATGTTGGAGTTTTTGGACTCTTGGATGAGCCATTGGATGAGCCATTGGACAGTTGGGGGTCGTGGACTTGAGTCTCGGAGGACTGGAAGTGGTGGTCGTCGCGCTAGAGGCGCAGACGGTGACACCTCGACCAACTGAACTCGGTGTCCTTGCCCATCCAAGGCAAGCCACCTTTTCGTTGTGCATTTCGGAGCAGGCCATTTGCCAGGGGACACAGAGCCGGGACTAGACGTGAGCTGCAAGAGTTGCGTGTGGTGTCTGTTGTTGTGGTAGGTCTGTGTGGTTGAGAATGAGTCGGGATTGGACGAGGAACGTGGGTGGACGTTGACTTTGACCAATTGTCACGTTTGAGATATCGTGTGTCGTCCATACGCAGGAGGAGGGCGTCTTGGGCGTCGTGGGCGTGTATGAGCGACGTGAGGGATGAGTGGAATGTGGGAGAACGAGGGGCGTAGACAGTGACCTAGGTCTTGGGCACATTGTACCGGTATTCGATACTCGCCATCCAGGCAAGCACCAAGCCAGCGACGTCGGCTCTTCTATCCATCAACAAACAATGTTCCAGGCGTCGATCAAGGGAACGGGTGGTGAGCGGGGGGCGGGCATGTTGAAGCGGAATCATCGTGAGAAGTGGCACGAAAATGGCCAATATTGGGGCTCGTTACACCGACTGAATAAGGTATGGTATGTGGGCAGTGTATTGGCAAAAGCAAGTACTCCGTTGTGCCCATACAAAGCGATGAAAAGAGGCCTGGGTATCAATCGTTGGATTCTCTCATCTCGTCAGTGGCAGTTCCAGTTCCAGGACCACACTTTTCCCACGGATATGCAATGTCTCAGCCTCAACGCAAAACAGTTTACCCTCCCGAATGCCTAAAAGGTCATTGTGATCCACGCGACCTGCTTGTTAAACGACCGTGACCACCCCCACATGCGCGACTCACCTGCACTGACAGCTGTGAGATGAGGAGTCGACGGATGGTACGAAGTTTTTGTAGATGTCTAGGGTACCAGGTACGGATACCATGCCTGAGAAGTACCTCTGGTGGGGACTACTTTAGAAAGCTCCTCCTGCCTGCGTGACTGCCGCCATCTGTGGTCCTGACATGATATCTGCAGGCGGCACTGAGTAAGAACTTTCCGTGGGTAACTACTTCGTGAGGATTCGAGAAGAAGAGTAACGGCCTGGGTGGAAAGAGTTTGGAGTCTGTGGAAAGGCAATTCCCGGCCCTGCCGGCTCCATTTCACCCGGATTGCTGGTCCGACTTCTCCTCCAAGGAGCTGCCGCATTTGGCGTCTTGTTTCAGTCTTTGCTTCCTTTTCTTTTTTTTTCCCACATCAACATGGGGGCCCAACAAGGGAACTCGCTCCCGCTGCCCGTCCCGCCGTGGCTCATTCCATGAATCCATGTTGAGGTCACAGGTCGGAGGTCACTTTTGTGTCTTGTGGTCCGTGTGTGTCAACCTCACCTCGCATCGCCAGATACGAGACTGCCAGTACCTACCTTCATCCTCGTTTGGTCCTCGGGTTGCAACAAGCCTGCACATACCGATAACAAGAGCCAAAGACAGTCATCGAGAGTCGGTGTGTGATTGATGATGCCGCCTACGGCTACATACTACTACTCTACACACGGATACTGCCATCCGCTACAACTCTAGATTCGCATCACTCGACCCGGTTCTTGGCCTTGTCGCTACCAAACCCCGACTCTATCCGTGCTGATCGGGTGAAGGCATCGACCAGCGACAGGCCTCGTCTCTCAAGTCCACGCTCTTGTATGATGAATCCGAGTCGTTCTTCAAGTTGACCGACGAGTCGTGGACGAGGTCAAAGCCATGCTGCTCGAGGGTGCTGGTAATTCTTACCAACAATCCACACTGCGTCTAACCTCTTAGTCTGTCGGCCATCGGCCAACACCATCGGAAATCGACCAAGCCTAGCTAGCATCTTCACCCGACATGGCGTCCCAGATCCCGCCATCCAAGACCTCTATCGCCAACTAGTCGTCCAATATCATGACGCCGCGCTAGGGTATCAGCGAACGCCTGCCTTACCCCAATAGGAAGTGAGCGAAGGCCCCGGCAAACGGAATGCTGGCATTTCGAGCGTCCTGCCATCAAGAATCAACGGCACTAACTCGTCTCGTCCGCCTGGCCGTTTGCACTATCTCATTTGCGGTTGGATGCCTCTGTCACTCTGACTGGCGCCGCCGCCGTCAGACCTGACAGCCATTCACACTAGATTCTAGCTGGTTGAATCCCGATTGCTCAACGACTCTTCATCTTTTGTGGTAGCGCTGGCTTCAGCTCCTCAGAAGCAACGCTGCACTTGCAGAGATGTGATTGCTAGCCTCTCGGACGAATCCAATGTGCCACCGAGCCGCAGGTTACGACGGAGTTTTCCTCACTTGGATCGCTGCAACCACATGCCACGTCCTCCTGCATGCACCTGCCACCTGCCTGCATTACCTATTCTTGGTTCACGCCAGCGGCAACCTCTGGATGCTGCGGCACAACTACCTCACTCAATACTCCAATACTGCGTAGGAATCAAGAAGTTTCCATCACAACTCACTTTGAGCCCCTTCTTGTAGGAGCGAAACCCTTTCTAAGCCATGTCTTCCAGCCCCCCCGTCGACGACGTGCAGCATCTTCGCGTCCAAAAGACAGGCCAGGATCCATACAACTGCATTTGGGACAGCCCCACATCGCAGGATTCAGAGGAGGCTAAACCACCACATGGCTTGCAAGCCTTTTGCCCGTCGAGCAGGACCCCCGCTGTCCCCTATTGTCTGCCTAGATCAAAAACATTCCAATTCTGGGCGAAGCTCGATGACAGTCCTACGGCTCGTATCGATGTGGACAGCTTCTCCGCAACGCAATATGGTGGCTTCTTTGGCCTGCTCACCCTGACTCGTGGGGGGTTTTCAGCGACGGCTAAAGGCACCGCGAACCCGCCGTGATTCTTTTCCCTTGAGGTTCTGGTTTAAAACACCTTGCCAGATCCGCACAGAACAAAGCGTCGGAAGAATTATTGGCCAGTCAGCTATTTTCGGTGCCTATATGCGATCACGGTATAGCTTCGTCCAGGAAGGCGGCGGCTCCCCTCGTGGACAACCAACATCATGCAATGCATATTGCTGTTACGTGGGCGATACAGGTAGCAAAGCCATGCCAAATCACCCACACGGAGTGCTCGTGCCTAGTCAATCACGTCAATGTAGCCCCCCTAGTCCAACCTCGATCCAACACCTGAGAAGCTATCCCGCTCCAGCAACGGTTTGATCGTCTTGCACAGTGGACCTTGGCGGAGCATCTTATAGCGAGACAACCGACTTATGATCGCCCGTCAGCCCAGAGCACGAGCGGCCGGCATCTATAGGAGCCGAGTATAACAAATGGCACACGGCTTAAGCTGCTGGCAAAGCACATTACTCGCCAGCGCTCTCCCAGCCATCGGAACACACATCCAATTGGTGGTTTGCCCCGGAATTAGCCATGTCTCATAGACATGGAGATGAACCATTATTCTGGAAGCGAGTTGATGTGCCGACCGAATGTGAGTGATCTGGGCTGTGCAATGTCCTAGCTCACACTATACATGCGGATGTCTAAGCTTCCCAAACTTGGCTGAGCAGTCGGGATGCTACAATCTGATAATAACAGATGTGATAGCCAACGAGATATATTCGCTGCGCGGAGTTAAGGCAGAGTGCACAACGCAGCGAGAGACAACGCAACCAGATATACAGAGTACAAGATAGGCGACAGGCTTTTTCACTTTGGTTTTGTCTTTACGACAGACATGGCTTCAACCCAACACAGGAGAGAGAGCCCTGGTCAGATTACAGATGATATCTTGTGCCAAGAAGGATCAAGACTGATTTGTTGAGTTCTGGTGCGGGCAACCCAATATCAGCTGCAGTCTCAGGTCTGCTTTCAAATACTTTATCCGTACGAATAGTCCGCAGACTCCGTACATAACCCCGAAGGCACCGTGAATTCCAGCGCACAATCTCGTCGACACCGAGAGGGCAACGTCCAAGTCAAGCATCCCCCTCCTCCTCGGTAGGAGAATATGGCGGGTCTGGCCACGCGAACAAGGATGGCACAGGTCGCCAGACGTGGAAAGTAACCTGAAACATACATGGATGCCACTTTCTTCGTCTGATCAGTGACGGCTGACATCTGTGCCCCCGTCCCTCCACTCCAAAGGACCCAAAGTCTTTCTCTCCCGTCTTCTTTCGTCCGCTGCCCAGGACCGCGAACACGACACGACAAGCCGCGACCCAAGTCGTCCATGCCCTGGCGCCCATCAACTTGCGTCAACGGACGCACCCTCCCCCAATGAACCCCTGGTGGGCCGCGAGCATGGTTGACGGCCGATTCAAAATTCTACGATACGCCGCGCCAAAAGTCAGACAATGCAGCCTTTTCCTGTTTTGGCATCGTTGGGAAACCAGCACATCCCATCGCATAAGGATTCATCCCAGCTACCCCTCCACGGCGGGCCACCACATCGACAAAGCCGGTTCGTCGGTATTCCAGATCGTCTGTTCTTTCTTGCCACGAGTCCTCTCGTCGCATAAAGGTCGACATTGGAGAGGGGCGGACCTTGCATGGAAGATGGTCCGTCGGTAACGCCGCCAGCCCACGATCTCCCCAACCGTCCCAAATTTAGGGACCTTTCAGGACCCTTGAAGTGACGATAAATCCGGGTAACGTAGATCAGCGTTCTCTTCGAGGAAATCCATCCACCGTTTGAGAAAGTTGCTGCCTCTGACCATGACACAACCCAAGTTAGCAAGAGAAAAAAAAGAAGAAAAGAAGAAACAGGCCCGAGGTGTTGGACGTTTGACGCGGCTCAGCAGATGTCTCAGGATAAGCCTGCCACCATCTGTGCAGACTGCAGAGGTGCTCTGCGCCGCACGCCCCAAAATCAACTAGGGAAGGGGAAGGTTTGGGGGAAGAAGGGGGAAAAGAAAGCAATTTTCTCAAACCGACTCACCTCTTGACTGTCTCTGAATCTCCGATCACCGTCAGCGAGCGTTTGGGTCTCGTCATCGCCACTAAGAACGCATTAACATTCATGCGCTAACGGTCGGCCGCATACTGGGATCTTCCCAGCCTGGCCGCGGCCGGCGGGATCATCTCTCGTTTGAAGCTTACCGTTCAGTCGGCGCTTCTCGCCCAGGAACCCTACTTCTCCTACGGAGTTGCTCCGTACAAGGCTGACAATGACGGCCTCTTTTTCACGGCCCTGGAAGCCGTCAACGCTGCCCAGCTCGATGCCAGGGAACCGTTCTTTCAGGGGCGCTAAAATGGCGAGCTGCGTTCGGTTCATCCGATGTCAGCTTTCATGCCTTGCGGCTCTTCGCGACGGACCCAAGATTTCCAAACAGAAGATCCATAATCAAAGGGGGGGAAGGGGGGTTCGTTGGTTTGACCAGGCTTACCTGAGCGTTGTAAGGGGTCACGACGGCGATGTCCTCTGGCTTCACTCCCGCGTCGACCAGCTTCTGGACGTGTTGCCGGACCAAGGCCCCTTCCATCTCGTTGCTCTTGCTCTCCCCGTGCAAGCTGAACTTTGCCTTCTTGACGGCGTCCTTGTCGTCGTCCTCGCTCCTCTCGGGGTAGTCGCCCCCTTGCGAATCGATGAAGACGACCGGCTCGTTGGTGTCTTCCGTGTCCTCGACCTCGTACGGCAGGTCTCTGAGCAAGCGCTCCTTGACCACCTCCGCGGCGATGAGCTTTCCTTCGTAGAGCTCGTCCGACGGGAACCTCATGATGTTCTCGTGCATGCGGTACTGTGTGGTGAGCATACGCTTGATGGATGACCCGTGTAGGGCGAGAAGCCTATCAAACAGGGTCGTCTCCAGCGTCATGCCCTTGATATGCTTCTTCTCCACGTCTTCTATGGGGGCCGCTGACTTTGCTGCTGCCGGCGGCTTCACCTTGGAATTGAGCGACTTGATTGTCGGCGGCAGCTGCAGATGATCGCCGGCACAAACGGCCTTCTTGGCCGACAGTAAAGGCACCCAGCACTGCGCCTCGAGCGCCTGGCTCGCCTCGTCAATGATGACGACGTCGAACTGCTGGTCCCGGAGCTGGTGTCCGCCCGCGCCGTGCAGCGTCGCCAGGACGACTTTGCTCTCGCGAATCAAGTTTGCGACGCAGCCGCGCTCGCGCTCGCGGAATTCCTTGCGGAGCTCCTTGAGGTCGGCGTAGATTTGGCGCTTCTCGCGGCCGTTGCGCGTTTTTTTGATAGAGGCCTGTTTTGCGTCCATTTCGGCGCGGACGTCCTTGACGATGGCGCCGGCCTCGGAGGTCTGGGTGAGGACGTCGAGGGAGTGGGCGAGGACGCTGGGGAGGAGGCGGGCCGGGTGGCCGAGGCGGAGGATGGGGATCTTGTGCGGGGCGAGGCGCTCTACGATGTTGTCGACGGAGATGTTGGAGGGGCCGCAGACGAGGATGCGGAGATTGAGCTTGATGAGCTGGAGGATTAGTTCGATTAGGGTGTGTGTTTTGCCCGTCTTTTTCCTCCTTTTTCGTCAGCCATGGCGTTTCTTTCATCGGGTCGGTTAGGGGGTTAAGTAAGACTCACGCCTGGCGGGCCGTGGATGAGGGCAACTTCGCGGGACGCGAGGGCGAACCGGATGGCGTCCTTTTGGGAGTCGTTGAGAGACGGGTCGATCCATTGGATCTTTGCGAGCTCCGGGTCGGATGCTAGGTCCGGGGGCACTGGCGACGGGCTCGAGAGGCCGAAGAGGACACGCATGAAGGCCGTGTATTCCGATTCCGTCATCTTTTCGATCTTGCCCATGGTTTGGCTCATCCTGTAGGCGCTTGTTAGTCCTGTCTGCTCCTCCGCTAGGTGCTGCAGCATTGTGATACTGCCACAAGTCGTCAATCACGGAGAGCCCAGCCTGCTTCCGTGAAGTCTCGCACCAAGTGACGCAGCTGACAGACTCCATCTCTGTCAAGCATTTGATCCTTGACCGACAGACGACTGAAAAGGGAATGAATCAAGAACAGAAGATCTCACCTCCGGTACGTGACATCGTCAGCAACCTTGACAATCCAAACCCTCCCCGTAAACTCCCTCTCCTCCCCCTTCCCCTCATCAACAGCAACACCAACAACCTCCCTCCTAACCCTCGTAACCACCCCTCTCGCCCCTTTACTCTCGAGCTCTTTGACTTCCTTCTTCTTGGCGTTTCCCGCAGGCTGCTCCGAGATGAGCACAATGTCCCCCGGACGGAGGCCATGCTCGGGTAGTTCACCGGAAGAAGAAGCAACGGCGGGATCGGAGGATAGTTCGAGAACGGTGCGGCCGCCTAGACCTGTGCGGCGGGCGGTGACGACGAGGTTGGGCAGGGCGAGGCCTGCGCGCTGGAGGGCCGTGGGGGAGTGCGAGGAGACGAGGGCGGATGATTCCGAGACTTCTGCGGCGAGTTCGGCTTCGAGGAGGGTGAGTTGGGTTGTTGCGAAGGAGGGGGGTGAGAGGGGTCCTGTTGAGGGGGACATGTTTGTATTTTGGGGAGGGGGGTCTTTTCTGTTCCCTTTATTGACGTGGTCCCAATGATTTGTTTTTTCCCTTTCTTGGCGCCTCTTTCTGAGTTAGGTTGTCTTGTTGGCGGGATGAGTTCTCATGACCTCATGTGCGCGCAAGTAAATGGGTGGTGATATTGAGATTGTGGGACAGTGAGGTGAGGGAGCTGCGGTCGAGATGAAAGAGTGTGTGTCGTTGTCTGCGCCTGTTGTAAGTGGTTCTGTGCGGGTTCCCCACAATGTGAGGTGCAGCTGGCTCGGCTTTTTTGACGTCATCTGATAGGTTGGGGTTTTAGAGGGGTGAAAGCTCTCGACACTCAGCTCTTAGCTTTCAGGTCAGGAGATGAGATGAGATGAGGTACCCGAACGGGCCGGATACCTGCGTCTTGCGATGTGTCTCTTATGCAATTGCCCTTTGTGGGTTTCGCGTCGGACAGAGGTTGGCATGGTAGATGACATGTAATACAAATATGCATGATGCCGGTTGAGAAAGGGTTGCTCAAATGGCGAATTCGTCTTCAAGTGAACGTGCTCACTGAGCCGCCCAATTTTGCAAGGATTAAATTGGACTTGCTTGAATATTAACGTTGTCGATTTTCCGCGGCCATTATAGTATCGCATTCAAGTGTACTCTGTCTCCTAGCTTTCAAGGCGGATTTCTCACGTCACCGTAGAAAATTGCTGGTTGAGCTACAGTATCCTCGGTTGTGTATTATCAGGGTATTATATACTCATTACTGCGTCATATCAGAAGCAAATAGACATAATGTAGATAACGCATCTTTCAACCAACTCAAATCCCAAGTGTCACCTCAATGCAGAACGCTCTCATTTCAAACATATGCAGCCAGATCTAGGCACCAAACATATGAACTCCCCGTATAAAGACCAAAACCTGTCACACGATGGATGAATCACCGCTCCCTGCTCGTAGGACTCACAACCACAACCACAACCAAGCTCACAGCCATCAGCGCAAACGCCACCATGGACACGATGATAATGGTCCCGCGGCTCGCGGGGAACTTGCCCTTCATCACCCACTGCTGCGCGCGGAAGTAACGCTGGTAGCCCAAAAACAAAATGAGGATGCTGATGCCCAGGAACGTCGCGCCGAGCGGCTTGCCCAGCTGGCGGAGGGTGTGACTGTTCGGGTCGTCGGTCCCCGGCGTCGAGAGGGACGAGTTGAGGCGGAAGAGCTGCGTTACGGCGATGCCTATGGAGGCGAAGGCGAGAGATGTGCGGAGCCATGCGAGGAATGTTCGTTCTGTTTTTTTGGTGAGAAGAGTTAGTTAGTCCCGGCTAGCTGGAGCTGTATACGGCTGTCATGATTCTTCATAGGTGAAAGTGCCAAAAGAATTCGCAAAAAAGAGTAGCTCATAGCGTGGAGTCGAACTCAAGGGGTCGAGGTCCGTCTCGAAAGACATGTGGAAATCCCTAGTCCCCAGCTGAGTGTTCCACTGAGCTAAAGCGCCCGGGGGAGTTGGCCCCCGTTTGCCTGGGAGATGGAGGAGGATGGGTTATTCATGAAGGGATACGCTGTGGCCATTGGCAGCCGTAGAGAAGCGTTGAACCGTGATGGGTTGGAGAGGCGGCTGAACCGTCTAGGTTGAGGGGGAAGCTGACCCGGATGGGCTGAGCTCTCGTGACAAAGTGCGAGCGCAATACGTACCGAGCGCCAGGTGATCGCGAGCCACGCTGCCCTTGTTCTCCAGCTCAATGCTCTGGAAGCTGGACAGCAGGATCGTGTACCAGGGTTCCTTCCTCTGCGCTTCTCTCTCCCGCTCCTCCCGCGCGACCACGGCATCGTAGTCTTCGTCCTCCCCCTCCTCTTCGGCCTGCGCTGGCAGGGAGTTCCTCGTCGACTGGACCGACTTGCGCGGCCGCATGCCGGCCAGCTCCGGGGTCGTCGCTGTGGTGGTTACGGCGGACGGGTGCGGCGCCGAGTTCATGCTCTGGTAATTGCGGTCCGGGCCGCGGGAGATGATGCCGACGTTCTCATTGTGAGAGCCGTCCGCGCGGGAGTAGTGCCGCGGGGGGCTGGCGGGAGCGGAGCGGGTTGTTGAGAGTCCGCCGCCCATGGCTTGTGCGCGGCCTCGTGCGTTCTGTTTTGGGGCGAGAGAGTGAGGTGTAAGTAGGAAATGTGTATGATGGCGGACAGGGAGAATGATCCGGAATTAGGAAGGAGAACAGAACATGGGGATGGGCAAAAAGGAAACGGAGAAGCGAGGTCAATGTTGAATTAACTAGGGTTCAGAGAGAAATGCCGTGGATTGGCGGCCAGAAGGGTCGGTGCCAAGCGATGAGCGAAATGTACATGCTCGTAGACGACACACGTTTAAACACACGCAGAGAGGGTTCCACAGTCCCAGATCCTCGGTTGGCGATGGGGTAGGATGCAGAAGCGAAAGGAGCTACAGGTAGAAGAACGTACCTCTAATATCTCGTTAATGCGCTCGTTGGTGCTCTGCCTCCGGGAGAGCGAGCGCGGGGACGCTGGCGAGCGTCCGTCGTAGGAAGAGGAGCGCCTACTTAACCCTCTCGGCGAGGCGGTCGCAGAGGACTGGGATTGCGGTGGATGAGCATCGGACGACGGTGGTGGTGGTGGAGGAGGTGCAGGAGGAAAAGCAGTAGCCGGTACCGCTGCCGGCATCGATGCGGCTTCTTTCTTGGCGGAGGCCATCACGTCCGAGACATGGGCAGTTGACGTCGAGTGCCCTCAGACCGAATAGATAGAGAGGCACACTGGTAAAAACGCGGTTTGAAGATGGCGTCCCTCACGCCAGAACAAGGGTCTGGTGACGTGATCAAGAGGCGGAGAGACGGTTTGAAAGGCGAAAATGGCGAAAAATGGCACTAAAATGTTTCTTGCCCAGAATTTGGCTCTTGGGGAAAGCTCTCCTCCCCGTTGAGCTTAGGTATGGAGAAGGTTGGGTGGGCGATCGCGCAGGGCGGCTGATGGAGGTGCGTTAGTGCCGTTTTCCTCATGCAATGCCGCCGTTCGCTAGCGCACTTTCTCGGCCGGCGGCGGAGGATGCGGTAATGGGGACCGACCTGGGAAGCCTTGCCAGTGGAGGACTGAAAGGATGATAGTTGAGAGGAGTAAGCGTGCAGTAAGGTGGTGAAAAGAAAGTAGCGTAGGAATAAAGTTTCAGCAATATGAGGCTGGCAAGTGCAGTTCCTTGCTGTAAAGAAATGAGACGAGACGAGTCGAGTTTCTGTCTCCTTCACGTGTACAGGTGGAAAAAGGGACCCCATGACATAGCTTGGGCCCCTCTAGAGCTTTATCTGATTTGATCCATTGGGGAATTTGGGATGGAGGGGTTTACCGTTCACTGGTTGGTCGCCGACCATCCCAAGATCTAGGCCCCTAGAATTCTGGGGGGAGCCGCTTGACCCCGCCGATGCCGATGGCACGGAGCCTGGTCCTACCCGTCGCCAATCGGACCGGCTGTCGGGGCGGCTGGACGGATACGGGTCACCTTCGGCCCACGGTCGACGTCTGACAACCTCACTTCTATCCTTTGCAGCAGTAAACACACTTTAATTATACGTCTATCTTGATGTGTTAAGGAACTCTGATGATCGCCAGGCCTTGGGGTGTCTAATGCGCCATCCAGTCTTTCAGTACATTCGCTCGCGGCCTAGGACTAGCACGATGTCACCCAGCCTACCACAGCGGAGATGGAATGCTACTGTGTGACTTTGGACTTCCGCAGTCTTTCTCAGCTAATTTAACTGGTGATTATTTGAGGTGATCTTTGAACGACTGTCTTGCCGTAGAAAGGGTTACTCTCGTGGAAAATACAGACATTTGCCGGAAGTAGACAATCTCACAAGATGATTCTCGAGTACCCTTGGTAATCACTAGTGTGCAGAATCCACGTCGGGCGGAAATAATAGACTGACGACCTAAATGATCGCTTCGATTCACCAACAATCTCTTTCTCGAGGATTAATAAACTTCTGAAAAGCTGCTTTTTCTTTGCCTCTCGCCGATTGAATCTCCAGACGTCAGGACTGGCGATGACCGGAGCAGCCCCGAGTCTCGTCGTTGCCATTCCCCCACAACTACGAGGATCGCTACAAGACGATCTTACAGACTGGTTTAGTATGTTTTCAGAAGCCCACAAAGTGACTCCAAGATGGAAAGAGCATCTCTCATTCATTGCCTCCGCCGCCGTAGTATTCAGTCAATAATAACCAAGAGAGGGAGGGAGATCTGGAGATACATGCCCTTGTTTAGTGTGTGAATGTGTATGTTGGGGACTGGGTATCCGCTCGCTGGAAAAAACCCGTGACCTCTCGGACAGAATCACCAGAAGTCATGACTCTGCAGAGTTCACGAAGTGTCCCAACAAATTCTGCGTCCTGACGTCTATCTGCTCTCGGTCTTACTCGCCCGGCCGCCTACAAACTTAACATCAACACTATCTGGAACGTCCTAGGCCACTATAAAATGACAATGCCGATTCTGTAGGCTTAAAGGGTTCCAGTGCAATGTCACTGTTGGAGCGATGCCCTCTATGGCGTGTCTTAAGACCGAGCGATCGTCTAATATCTGTAGATGCGCGTATAGCGACGAAGAACAGGATTGTATAATTCACTTTAACCAGACGCAGTTGTTCACCTTTCCCCACGTTGCGAAAATATTTCTTTTGGTATGTCTCTGTACCGACTTTGGAAAGTAACCGACGGTATCTCGAGGCGAAGAAAGTACACTTAGCATTAGAGCCTATCTGGCTCATTGCGATGATCGCAGACGGTCTTGAGCCCTTGGCTCTGGACTTCAATCCGTGGAACCTGGGCATGATGAGAGCCCGCCGCCCTGGGTAGTGCGGGCTGTGGTTTCGCAGAAGAGACCCCATGAAGAAGAGTCTGAGACGTTTATACACGCAGCAAATGAAAGTCTGAGAAACTCGATCCTTCTAGACTGGACACCACAGAGTCATCAAGCTGGATCCCTGTCACAAGGAAGGGTCCCCCCGTGTGTCTGTTTTTCTTTTCTTTGGATTGCCCGAGTCTATCGAGATCAGGAATTTCGTCCCTTGTACGCTCAAGACTTTTTATTTCGTAGTAGCTCTTCTCATTCTAAGACGGTTACTCTAGACACAGCGCAATTTCATGCCATCTCACATATGCTGTGGCCTTGACAATCTGTTGATGTCCATGTCTTGGCTGGCACCATCGTAAACTACAAAGGTCTCCTTCTTCTCTGTCTCGTTTCTTTATACAGCTGACCGCAGGCAGGAAGTACATTCGTTACGCGGTATTGAGACAGTATTGCATACCGGTGGATACACATGACTGATGACTTCATGAAGCATTTTATCTGTAAGATGATTGATCTCAGATAAGAGACTTCGTAATGCGACCACGGTGATGCTCATTCATTTCCAGAGACAGTCACGGGATAAGCAGCGGTAAGCAAGAAGCCATCTACAATAGCATACAAGATAGCTCAAACGCATAGCACAAACGGATCTTATGTGACTGGATTGCTAGACGGAGTTGCTTGCAGCCAGAGTCGAGATCAGTATTGCAAACGATCAGGGGTCGAGATCACCTCTACCAACGACGATATCTCCATGATTTTTTCAGCCATACACCATACGAGTAATGATTACGTGACGTAACATTCGGGATCAAAACAGACGCTACGACTTGCAAACGCGGCCAGTTGCCTGTACGAAGGTGCTATAAGCTCGAATACGTGTAAAGGCTCGTTAGAACCCCAAGAGCCAACGTTACGGAGGGTGGTGTCCAGGACGAATAACATGTACCTCTGGAGATCTCTCGAAGCATCGCTTCGTTCTCATAAGAGTAAAGACGTTTCTTAGATGAAATGCTTGTCGATCACGGAAGACCACTTGATGATCTCCGCCGAGCACATTTCCACCGTAATGGCGGACTCTTTCGACATCATATCGATATATATCCGACTACTTACGCAGGACTCAGACCCCTACAGCTTCAAATCCCAATTGAGACGAGGATCACCCAGGCATAGCTGCCTCAAGTACCTGACACTCTTCTTGATGGACCCAATTGTGTCGAAAAGGAACACAAAGACCCGCAGCAAGATCACTTTATCTGACAAGACACCACGGGAGATGGCATCTAGGGGTCATTTACGGTTAGATAAGGTCACAGGAGGACGAGGGATATCTTGGCGGCCTAAAGAAGCTTGTAAAACTCAAGTCCTTTCAATGGCAAGGTATGGCTACGCTCAATCTCATAGGGAAGCACATGAATACTGAAAAGGACATGATGGCTCTGACGAACATGCCATCATTTCCTCACACAACTCGTCCCGACACAACAACCATACGAAGTGTAAACATTCTAAGTTGCTGTCTCCCTGTAGAGCCCTCTACACTGGAAATGATTCTTACTTCACCCATTGAACTCATCATATCGTCAATAGAGTGTATCAAGTCACCTTTCACAACAGAGGAATAACGAGGCGAGCATGAAAACGACACCCAGCAGCGAACCACGATTCAGTAAAACATTTCTCAAGTAGGTAAAGAGAGGTATAGGCTAAAAACTCCCACCCGCACATCTAGAGAAAGGGGAAAAGCCGGCAATATCCCAACAACACAAGGTAACTAACTGGTGTTCTTCCCTCAGTGCCTAAGCCCAGAGGTTAATATCAATGGTAAAAAAAAATGAAGCCTCTGGCGTACGTAGGCACATCGACCGTACATGATCAGAGAAGAGTCACCCTTTTCTGCTTCTCCCAATCCTCTTATTGGAAGGGATGATTATAGCACGCTTACATTCAGACACATCGCAAGACACAAGGAATCCTACGCATAGAACGCTTTACATCTGTCTGGCATGTCGCTAACACCCCAAAGCCCATAGAGCAAGAGCACGGTGACGGTTCGCAGAGACAATAGCCATCAGAGCCATCACCACCACTAGGATCTATATGTTCCCGATCAAGTGATACACTTATGGATGACCTACAATCAACGAAAGCCCCCTTTCCCCAAAGAGCAACGTCCCGATTGTCTCCGAGGCCACACGGCCACACAGCCACCAGGAGCAAGCCCAACATCTCGAGATACCAACAGCCCCTGACCTCTGCATGCAGACCATTCCCTCAGCCCACCTGAACTCACATTGAATATACGAGCCGAGTGAGAGCCCAAAACATCCGATTAACCTCAGAAACGAGATACGGCCTCGTCGAGTCTGTGCCCAACACCGTGGCGATACACACGCCAACCCAACGCCACAGCTATCTCCAACAAGACCGATGACCCGACGACGACGACGACATCGCCCACAATCGCAAAAATCTCACCGCGTCCTCGTCGCGCAGAACGCGTCCGATCAAGAAAACACGGTAACGTAACCAGCCTCCCACCGGTCCTGCTACGCCAACTCGGGATAGTCCTCTCACGCCGGTCCCCTCGACGATCACCAAACGACACACACATACATCTTAGCCCAACTCGTCCAGGAACGGGCTTACATACACCCACACACATAATCACGACACCCTCAAAGAAAAAAGACAAGAGATAACCCCACAAGCCGCCTGAAACCACGCGGCGCCCTTTTTTGGGAGTTGAGTACCTACCTAGTGAGCCGGAAAAGCCCAACATGATGTTCTGTCGCCGTAGTCCCCCGTCGGCCGCGCCCCCCTCTCAACGGCTTCTTTGTCCTCCG